ATTTATTGCTGGAGAAGCATTTTCACAGCTGGAAATGCATCTAAGCAGAACACACACAAGGCAGGACATCATCCAAAAATCCCACTAATCGCAGTTTTTGTATGCAAATAATAATAATTTGTCAAGTGTGAAAGTAAATCAAGATGCTGCTCTAAAGAATTGTGTTCAAAGAAGTAACTCATGCAAGCATAAATACTTTCTAGAAGATTTTTTTTTTTTTTTTTTTTTTTTTTTTTTCCCCCATTGGCACAATCACAAACTTCCAATAAATAATTGACAAGATGATTTTGGTTTTCATTCAGATTCCGTGAAGATAAGACAGTGAAGGCTGCTGAACATCAAAGTATGTTTTCACTGGAGTCCCTGTCATGCAACAACCCACAAATGGCTGCACTGCACATAAAATATGTGTGCTGTTTATGATGTGCCATTACATGCCTAAATTATTCGTACCCCTGGCAGATTTTGATTTGTCCTGATTAGAAAGTGGATGAGAATTGAATTTGAGATGCCTCTTTCACTTCCTAAACAAACTTCTGGATTGACTGGAAACATTTTCAATCTAAATCTCTCAGTGGTGTGAATAATTTGGGTTTCACCATTTACTGTATACCGGATATACAGACCGATAAAGGAAGTAAAATATTTTATATAACTTACAGATCAAACAGATTTTTTTTTTTTTTTTACAATGACGTCCATCCATCCATCCATCCATCCATCCATCCATCCATCCATCCATCCATCCATCCATCCATCCATCCATCCATCCATCCATCTATCCATTTTCTTCACACTCTTGTCCCTTAGTGGGGTCAGGAGGGGTGCTGGTGCCCATCTCCAGCTAACGTTCTGGACGAGAGGCGGGGTCACCCTGGACGGGTCGCCAGTCTGTCGCAGTACAATGACGTCAATATCTCATTTGTTTTGCTGTGCTTTTGGACATGCTTTGAAAGAATTACCAGCCCAGTAAAATGGAATGCATTGCCTATGGTGCAGTATAAGATGCCTAGGAAGGGAATGTTGGATGTTTTTTTTTTTTTTTTTGTTTTGTTTTTGTGTATAGTGTAATTAAACAGTAATTACAGTGATAACACTTACTCTTGTTTGTTATTTTTGTTTTTTTTCTGTACATAAATGCTTAGTATGCTAAGTATGATTCAACACCTTTAGCAGTTCAACTCCATACATACATGAAATGAAGAATAAAAAGAAGCATTACAAGGATTTTCTCCTGGCAGCAAGAGAATCAAATAATTGTATTGTTCTCAAAGGTTGTTTGTCTATTGTTAACAAGCCAGAACAATGCATTAGGGCTGCGATGTAAGTAATGTGCACTTAGACTTGCTGTCCCATCCACACTACATGGACAGCATTGTTTAATGTGCAGCAATAGCATTGTTAAGCTGCTATGCTTCTCTTATTTCCCATATTTCTTCCCTTTGCCACTTTCTGTTTAAATTTCTTATGCAGCCCAGTACAGTGAACTATGAAGGATGCTGCTATCAGCAGCTTGCTGTGTACAATTTGGTTTCCATTCAGTTGTATTTTCTTTTAAAGCAAGACACTAAAAATGTTCCAGAAGCACCTGATATTTTGCCATTTTTGCTTTCAGTGTAGAAAATAGAAAAAAAAAACCATATTTGGATTCAAGAGTGATGCTGAACTCTATCAGTGTAAATGCAAACCTGGCCTGCAATGAGCACCCACAACCTGAGCAAAATGACTGTGAGGGCTGCAGTATTGCAGAATGAAGTGTGTTCATTTCCTTATTTATTGACTCGCTTGCTTTTCTCAGAGTGTTTGAAATTAATAACAGCCAGCAGAAATCAGACAGAGGAATGAAAATCAGCACTTTCCCCGCAGTGAAGCCATTCATCAAGCTAACGAGGGGGAGAATAAAGCAGGGGAGGAAAGCAGGGGAAAAGTGACGTTTGGAGAGGGAAAGGAGAGAAGGAGGGAAGCAGGTGCAGTGCGAGGCGGAGGGAGGGTTTGAGAAAGTGACGCCAGTAGAAAAGAACAAGAACAGAAAGATTATAAGCATTCGGGGGGATAGCTAGAAATCCTAAGGAGGAGGAGAAGCTGGGCGTTTGTCATCGCAGCCTGCATAGAGAGCAATTTGAGTAAGATATGTTTCCTTCAAACTCACTGTGACTCAAAGGCAAATATCTACAAATAGATGAATATCAGTTTATTTACCAGTTATGAGTTGACAAAATCAGCTTCTGCCGAGGACCACGGGCCATCCCCTAACAACCAATCTATGAAAAATGCACGAATTAGTAAAATTCCAATGTCGTCACTTGTGATTATACAGAATGAGATAAAACCAAAACAAGTCTTGGTCATTGCACTGACTGCCATTTCTTTTGCACAGCTTCCTCACGCTACAGGACAATATATAGGCCTGCCCTAATCTACAGGAATTCACCTTGCCATAGTTCTGGCTCCATGCTGCTCTTCCCCACCTACCGTCCACCACTAAGGGGACGGTAGTGGTGGACTGCAGCATCTCACACACCAGAGTAAGGCTGACTAAGCGCTTGCCACTGAGTCTTTCGTCACCAAGTGAGAAAGTAGCACCATGCTGAGATCACTGCCACAGGAAAATAATTAACAAAGTGGAGCTCAGTCCAAACTGAGACTAAATCTAATTCCTCTCCTCTGTGACATTAAGCTGTAACTCTCTCTTTTTGCTTTCTGCTTTATTATTTTTCCAACCGTTATTACATTCACACTTAAATTTAGAATTCAAGTTTTATGTTTTGAAGTTCTGTACTCATGATCTCAGGAACTTAATCTTTTGAAAAACTCATAAAGGTTATACACAGGACAGTTTAGTGTGATGCCTAAAAAAAAACAATGCATTTAAAGTTTTGAAGTTGTTTTAGAATTTGACTTGAATGAACCTGGGACTATGTTCTCTGTTGGCTCTAAATACAAAAACTGATTCATTTGACTGAACATGGATATCTGTATTTTTAACTTTAAACTTAGACCACAGTGTCTTTGGTCACCAAGGCTAAATATAGTCATCTCCTCCTGAGCAGTCTCCAGTTTCTCACTCCTTTCCAAGAGGCAGGTGGAGCAAAGAAGAAGAAGAAGAAAGAGAGGGTAGGAGGTGTAACACCCAGTCTTGAATAAATCATCCCTTGACTTTTGACCCATATGGAGGAAGAGGGTGGTTTTTATACTTCTGCGCTGCCCCCTTACTCTGTATGGTCTTTGCATTCCCCTCCTCTACCTCATTCATTTTCTCCTTCACATGACAGGTCAATCTGGATCGATTTCATCTGCCCTCAATGACTGAGACCAACATCCTGGCACCCAGAAATAGAGCATGCTGTAATAAAAGTGTCTTAGAGGAACCATAACTGTTAGCATGCAGCCATGTGGTAAGCATTTTTGGAAACATGCATAGGACTTCATTTACAGCATGTTTAGATTGACTACACTGACAGAAAAAAAACATAAAAAAATTCTAAAGGCACAAAATTCTCTTTTGGTGAGATGTGATGCCTGGGTTTTATTGTTTCAGGAAATTTCAATCCAATTGTTATCACAAGCACTAATTTTTCACAACTGAAGCAGTGAGTTCCTCGTAATTGTATGCCAATGTGATCACATGCTTGTATATTTTCTAACCCAAAAAAATGTGTATGTACCTATATTTGTGTTCAGTTTTCTATTCCAAAGTCTCTTTCCTACAGTGCATCTGCACCTGGAATTATATCTTTGTCAGCAAATTCTGGGCTTTTCAACTCCCTGCTGGGCTCTGAAGTCTCGAGTCCCTTTGCTTGGTGTGGCAACCCCCCTTGGTGAGCACTGCCTTTATAACATACACTAAACCAGTGGCAGGTGAAACAGGTTGGCAGCCTCACACCACCGTATACCTGTATATTTCTCCAGTCCGAACTTTTGTTCTTGAGCTGGAGGAGTGGAGCGATGGTGACACAGTGACACTGGTGGGGTCTCAGTTTCCCAGGATGGAGTCAGGATGCTCTTTCCCAAGGCAAGGACACCTGGATCTCCATGTAGATTTCTCACCCTGTCCTCCTGGAGCTATGTGGTCAGATTGTACATCAACCGTTTAGCCCACCTCCACCCAAGCTTGCTTCTTATATGCATGGATCTCAATAAAACAAAGAGACGGCTATTCCCCGATGCATCCACTTTGGAGGAGGTCTCTGCCAACTGGACAGACGAAACCACACTGTTTTTGTTCTGCCTTTGGCTCGGATGAAAGGTTGTCAAAGCGCCGCATCAGAGTAGCGCAGCAGCACGGCTGGGAAAGTGAGATTTATGGGGCAGACTAAGATAGACACACTCATGGTTTTCCACTTTCATTCGTTTAACATCCGTTCTCTTGGCATTGTTTATATTCAACACCCCTTAGCGGTGACCAGAGGGCACCTAATTCACATTGATGACTTTGAGGTGGGGGGGAATCAAAGCACTTAAAACACTTAATCTAAAGAAGATTTGTCCTTGTCATCCTGGATGGCTTTTGTCCTGCACCCCCCACCCCCCTCTGAAGTAAAGTGAATCTGGAGTAAGGCCAGCCACTAATCCCACACCCCACTTGGACACAATCACGTAAATAATGCTCAGTACAAATACTTGCACACGGACACTCGTCTCCATACCGTCTCCCTTCCTGTCGTGACTCAAGCATTGTTAACTCATTACACAGACGGAAAGATAAATCTCAATTGGGTAATTTTAGAGGTAAACTTAGGAGCAGTACTCTATATTTACACTTAACTGATTGGAGAGCAATTTTGAACAAGGTACGTTTTTTTGTTTGTTTGTTTTTTTTTTCACATTGGGCATGGAGAGTTTACTCCTACTGTAAATTAAAGTTGCACCACCATAGATTTTGTGTAGCAATTTATAACTAAGAAGACAAAAAAAAAAAAAAGGCATGAAATCCAACACACTTATTTAAAGATTTGGCACCAATATCGTCACCAAAAGCTTTTTTTTTTTTTTTTTTTTTTCATTTAAGCCTACATGATGACAATTAAGGTTTAGAAGTGTGTTTTTGTTGTGAGGGTATTATTTTGCATGTGCAGTTATTTTTATTACAAACATCTGTGTATGGAGTTGTACTTAATGGCAGATTCTATGAAATACAACATCATTTAACCTTTTTCTGTTCTTTGCAAACCTTGAAATTGTGTTTCATAGACACATAGATTGCCCTTTTTTCATACAAGTGACCAAAATTCTTCACAAATACACTAAGTGACATCACAAAAATATTAGTCATTCTTGCGTTTCGGTCAATCCCTTTCTAAAGAACTTTCCAACATGTAGATAGAATGAAACTCAAACCGATGACCTCATACACCAAGTCCCACCCCTGCATAAAATTAACATTTTTTGTGAAAATTTGTTTATTCACAAAAGCCTAATTTGTGCTCCCATATTTAGCAATTAAAGAATAATAATACAATGAATTTATAACGTTACTAAAAAAGTATGCATAACAGTGAGAATGACTTGAGAAGAAGAAACAATCTTGCAGAATGTAATTTTTAAATTCCTGTTGAAAGAGGAAAAATTACATTCATTTTTGAAGTTTGAATTCTGAAAACAAATGGGACAAAGGTAAGAGAAAATCAATCATGTCGAAGTTATGAGTAAATTATTATTACTGATTAGAAAAGTGTTATTTTAACTCCAAATCAAACCATTTGTGGGGGAGATTGTAGTGACCAATAATTAGCAGAAAGGGAAGTAGAAAGGCTAAAGAAAATGCTCAAAATGGAGAATAATCTCTCATGTCTGTCTATTAGCTACGCTCCATCAGTCTAGATTTTTATTTCTGTTCATGCACTAAAGGATTCGAGGTGATGTGCCAGTTTAAGCTTTTAGCTCCGAGATCAGCTGGTGGACCAGGTCCAAAGCGCAATACAAAAATAGTTGCAGCAACTCTAAAGCAACGTCTCAGCTAGAACTCCTCTTGTGTCAACACAGATTCTAACTTTCCTTCAACAGTGGGGGAAAAAAAAATAAATAAAAAATCTTATACCCAGTGGCCTTTATTTCAGGTAACAATGAGAAGAAAAGCAAGCGCTGTCAAAAGCTTTAGTATGGAGTTCTGTTCCCTCTGGCCTGTTCACCACTTTTCTTAGCTGTACTCCACCTAAATTACGTTAAGAATTTATATTCAATCAATCTGAACACAGATGCAATTTATTGTTCTGTTTTCTTTATAAATATCAGTTAGCATCAGTCTTTATAGCTATCAGTGAGTGTGTAAAACGGGCTGTGATATGTTTGTGGATGATCACTTCATGCCTTTAGTCTCTGAAGAAATTAGTACAAACACAAAAAAATGCTTGTACTGCCGTTTGATTTGAAACAAAGTATAACATCAATGAAGACACTGTTCATTCATGTTGAAAGTTGTCGTGAAATCAAGTGTTACACTTGATATGGTCAAGATTCAAACAAGAAAGGTGAGATTTCTGAACTGGAACATGGCAGACACGTGTATAAATGGATGTGATAGCTTCAGAGATTAAATTAGTCGCACACATAATGTTGTTTAACCACCTACTTTGTTGATGTGTTCCCACATTATGCAAAAAAAATTAAAAATATGATAAATGAATAATTACTGACTTGCATCGCTAATTATAGCAAATCAAGTCATTGAGTACCACTCTTCCTACTCGTTTTCTCACTGGTAACTGAAACAAAATTATATCTTAATTTCCACTTAAATGCAATGCATCAAGGTCTTTTTTTTCTTTGTTTAAATGTTAATATTTATTTATAATTGACATAACTGAAGTAATAAATTATAACATTCATAATTCATCAACAGTCTAAATGTAGCTGTATAAATTTTGATATGTCTGAAATAAGATCTGGTGGAAAGCGTGGAAGGAATGATAGTTGTTTGCAAAGTTATTCAAAACAGACCAGAACCAACACACAAATTGTGTTCTTCACCAAACTGTAGCTCGCAAACTGAGAACAGACACAAACCTTGAATTCAGAAGATCACTGCACTTTCAGTGAAAAGTCATGCCTAAGCTAACATCCTGTCATGCTTGTGTCTCATGGCTAAGTGAAATCATTAGAGGAACAATCGGGTTAGCTACACACAGTCTCTTTCTCACAGCATTGATTTCAGCCCCAGCAGCCCATTCTTCACTCTTCCCCTCTCTTGTTGTCCGAGACAAAAGAGGAAAAATCTTAATATTTAATTTACATTTGAATAGTGGCTATAATCTGCTGGCTACACTCTTCATCAAGCATGGCGGAAATTTTACAACTGTGTTGTCTGTGAATGCGTTGGACTTCTTTTTTTGTGAACTCAAAAGGAGGACTGGATACATGATTGTACAGTTTTATTTTCTGAACCTTGAAGCACGTCTGAGAAGGATTTTGCCAAAATCCAAAAGGTTTTCCATTGAGGATTTACTTTACAGCACCGTTACACTTTAAAAGACATTTGCTTGTTTTATTGAGTGAAATAAAAAAGCATAGACAATTTACCTGTAAAGTAATACATGAAAAATATCTAAATGTTTTAAAAGTAGTTTTTAGATTTATGACATTTCTTAAAGTGTTTTTAAACATATTGTGCTAAAATGGGATTAAAAAGGAAAATAAAAGAATGTACAGGGGGGCGATTTACCTCAAAGAACCCAGAGCAAAGAAGAAGGGGCGTGAAATCACAGATGGAGGAATTTTCTTGACGACCTAAAGAAGCAGATAAGATTGAACACAACATATCAGCATGGACACATTAATTTAAGTACAAACACACATTGTGTCACCTTCAGTGCCGACTTCAGTCTCTTCCCTCTACCATCCTGCTCAGCGAGCGCACATGCCGACCCACACAAACAATCACAAAGGAACAAGTCGAGCCATTATGACTGAGATTCACTCTCTCCGTGTCTGTCTGCTGGAAAACAGTGCATGTATCATAGATGGCGTGGGGAAATGTAAAAATTTGCATGCAAATAGATTCTACAGGCATAGCTCATGCATCAAAAGACTAAAAGCAAAAAAAAAAAAAGGCAAAAATACACGAGCAGTACTTCATTAGAGAAAAGGTAAAAAAAAAAAAAGGTTTTTAATTCTGATTATTTTGAGAAATTACATGTCATTGTTCGAAACATCTATGCAGGGGATTTGATTCAATTTTTCAAATAACTTGTGACTGAAAGTTACATTCAAGCTCACCAGTAAATTACACAGATGCAAGCAGGTTGTGTAAAGTGGGATTAAAGACAGTTATTTATAACCTCTATAAATGTTGCTACAGATGTGAGAGCATGAGTGTAACTTTCTGGTTGTGTGCATTTATGCCAAACAGGGTCCCTTTTAAAATGCCCTGAAAAAGTGACAGCTGTGGAAATACTTTGCCAACACACTGCAGAGAAGGACATTTTAAGTCGTTGGACTTTCAAATAAATGGGACATAATTCATTTGTACAAAAGTAAATAGAAGCTGCAGAAAAGCAACAGGAACGTTCCACTGTGACAGTGAAATATGAGAATGTGATGTGAAATTCACAAAAAATAAGTTAAAGAATTAAAAAGTACATTTAAAAAGGGTTTACTCACTTTGCTTGCCATTGCTTAGATGCAACTTCTAAATTAATGTGGGTAACTGTGGGGATATTTAAATATGTCTCGTTTGGAATGCTGTGTATTTTTTATTTTTTAGCAAAATCTGATGTAGGTATATGTATTCATATACATATACCTACATCAGGTACATGTACGTAGGTACATGTGCCTATGTATATAGGTACATATACCTATATACATAGGTATATGTATTTATACACCTACATCAGAAATTAGAATATGAACTGTGATGAGGTTCATTTGTCAGATTAAAAGTAGGTAATAAACAGACTTTTAAGCAATTATTGGTCTTCTGAATGCTAATGTTAAATGCCATGTTTGTCTTAACTGTAAGTTTTCAAAGTTATCAAAATTGAAAACATCAGTGTGTGTGTGTGTGTGTGTGTGTGTGTGTGTGTAATTATTCAATATAAAGTATTTATCTTAGCAAATTGAGTTACTAAAATGTTCAAATCTGTCAACAATATTGTAATAAATACAGTTATCTATCTATCTATCTATCTATCTATCTATCTATCTGCAAAGTGAGTATATGAATGTTATTCTAAAATCATAGGTTTTCTCTTTGCCTTATTTTGTCACCTACGGTATCGTTACGGTTGAAAGATAATCTCGCATTTGTTTAAGTCACAGGCTCCTAGTTTGGGTCTATTTACAGACATATGAAATTATCCCTTCGAGTGGCTATACCACCTCATTACCAACATAACCGGCAGCAAGTCTTTCAAGGACAATTCTCTAATGACACCACGCGTTTCCTCCTAATATCTATTTGAGGCGTGCTTTCTGCCACAAAGGAAGAAGGTGCACAAAGGGCAAAGTCAACTCTGATGATCGGTCACAGATGTTAACTGATGCCTGAAATTCATTGAATGACTGAAGGTCTTTAAATTAATTTCGTCTCTATGGCTGCTCAAACACAGAGTAGGCCAGTGATCGGTGTGACTGCTGTCTTGTTGGATTGTCTGGTGTTACTGGTAACCATGTGAACATCTAGTGGAATCTTTTTTTTTGTGGTACGCTGTTTCCCATGAACAAGACGCAAGCAAAAAAAAAAAAAAAAACATTTCTTTATTGTTATTACTGAAAACATTACTAAAAATTGCACAACTGCAATTGTTCCGATGTTTTTTTTTTTGGTAGCTTTATTACAGCATTTCGTGGTTGTTTTGATGAAGTCCTAATAAAGTGTGAAACAAGACACACAAAAGTTCAGGTCACTAAGTGTTGATTACTGCCAATTTGAATGGAGGGGAAAATGAGTTTGCTTTCTTCTGTTTTACTCTGAAAAGACGTGGCGGGAGTCTCATTTACAGAGAGTTGTGTAGAATCCATAGTAAAAGTCTATATACACCCAAAAGGTGGAAATGGAATACATTATGATTAGAATAAGGTTACCCTCAATGTTCTTCCTGTACTTGACAGTGACGCCATTTCTGTTGAGAAAAGACATAGAAGCGAGGATAGAACCACCCATCAAGACCCTTCTGCCTTTACCACACTGAGTAAAAGTTGGACAGCATTTGAACACCCTTTATCTGTCTTAATGCCACCATCCTCATGGAGGAGATTATCCACGTAATACTAGTTTTACTCTCACAAAAAAGCTATTTAATATGCAGTTTATACTTAGAAAATGCTTAAAAAAATTTTTTTTTTTTTTTTTTTTTTTTTTACTGTCAGGGAAATGTAGCAATTTGATGGGAATGTTTGAATTTTCTGTCTTCCATGTTAGATGTGCATGCATATTTCACTCAGTGGGGTCTGTGCAGAGGAAATGAGCATGAGGTCCCCAGGGTTAGGATTACTCTAATGACTTTGAGAGCAGCCTTGTGCGCTGTAACTTCTGACCTCTGCTCATCCTTTTGTCCAAAAGAGAGACAGCTACACGCATGCAGAGACATCTGCACACACGTCCATGTTGTGCTTGTCCGCACGAGCACCAATCAGCATCTCACACAGGCCAGACTTACTTACAAAAGACGAGCAGCAATGCAAAGATTTGTTCCATTCCTTTCAGCGCAGTCTAAACCCTGCGATATTTCACATCTAGAACCAGCTTTGAAGTTTCATTCTGTCAACTGACCTATGGTTACGTCAGTGAACGTTGCGCTGCATCTTGCAGAGTCAGCCCTCAAAAGGCACCAAAGTTTCACATGGGCACAACTCTGGAGTATCGATCAGTTTATTACTCATGTAACCACAGTGCACGGGCACCAGAGGTAAAAAGGCAACTTGTTTTTGATGAGTAGTTTTGTCTTGACTCAGATACTGGGTGGCTTTCACATTGTGCCCTTTTAGCTTGACTGCATGTACTGAATCTATTTCAATCAGGAAAGGGTTAAAAATAGATTTTAAAAAATCTACAAGGAAGAATTAACTTTAAAGCATTTTCTTTTATTTTATTTTTTTTTTTTTTTACGTACCACTCAAGTGACTTAAAAAGCCCTGCCACAAAAATGCATGGCATTCAGAGGAGTGAAGCCAAACATCTGGCCAATAAGGATTTTGTCTCTGAAATGTCAAACGCAGATGTAAAATAGAAAAGGGTAAAAAAAAAGAATACAAAACAAAAAACAAAGAGTTAATATCCCCAAAGTGATTTAGTTCAGTGTTGTGGTTAATATGAAACATCAAAACATAGCAGCACTACTGCTTAGATCAAATAGATGTAATTAGATAAATTGAGGAAGAAGGAGAGCAGCTTGGTTGTAAATTGCATGGTGTGTGCATGCTAAGACCCAAAACGGGTACAGCTGCATGGAGCTGCACTCACGATTTATCATCTCTACATCGCAGGAGCCAGTGGCCCACACCACTATTAATCATCAGCAAAATCATTTAATTCAGCCCAAGACCGACTATTGTCTCAGCTTCTCCGCTCACTCGGGGCAAATCAGCCACCAGCAGCAGCAGCACACACGTCTCAAATGGGATACAAGTGGTGGGTTAAAAATGCCTTTTTCCTCCCCTTTTTGTTGTTTTGGGGAGGTGTGTAAGTGCATCATCATCTGCAGGGGGTGTAGTTTGGCTTTTATCTCTTTGTCTCTGTGCAATTTCAGTAATAAATGTGTACCTGCAAAATCTACAGTCTGAACAAAATTAGATAAATTAAGAGCTTTATTAACACTGAGAGTGTGGTTCACTTTTTATGAGAGGTGTGCTTTGTGATTGTCCTTTACTCAGAGTCATGCAGAGCGGTTTCTAAAAGCCCAGACCGAGTCTGTCCTCTGAAGCCCTGAGTGTTTCTTCAAAATGTGTTTTGGCGCATCGGTTTTCCTGTTTCAAAAAACAGATTGTTCTGGAACGGTGAAACGAGATGCCCACGAGGTCTATACTCCTCGTACCAGAACTTGCAAAAGCACTTTTCCTCTTGTGTTTCAGAAGACAAGCATTTTCAGTTAACACTACGGTGCTGTAAAACAGCTATGTTGAAAGAGGTCAACCAAAGATGTGTAAACAGCGGCAAAAAAAAAAAAAAAAAGGCAAAAGATTTGGTTGAGAAGCAAAGAAGTTTTTCCTGCTCACCGCAGCGGTCGACTTATACTGATACCTTCTCGTGCGCCCCCTCACATGCCTGTCACAACTGTGCCCTCATTGCAACCCGTCGACCTGAGCACATCCGCATGAGGCCAACAATCAGACCCACTGACTAACAGAGCAAGGCTGAGTGAAACTGGGTAGGCCGAACGATGACACGCCGATGACAAATGCTCTGAAGCGAGGATACCACACAGAGGCAAACAGGACAATGAGAAAGAACAAAAGCGAGGTGCAAATCTGAAACATGCAAAACCACTAGAAACCTGCATGTAGAGATGCAATTAAGACTCTCATTCAGGGAAATACGCCCACGGTTGAATCCATGCCTGTATAAACACATGCTGGCACAAGCTTTACACACAGGGACACTCTCAAGAACAGGCGTGCACAAGAACAATTAGAAAACCTGCGGACACACACACTCGCACACACTCATCACAGTTTTCAATAAAATTAATAGAAACCATCGGCTACATAAACCTTATAATCAGTTTTAGATAGAGATGGTGGGAAATAGTTTCATATAGAACATGTATAAAATCAGAATATGAAACTCAAATGGGAACAAAGCTGTGTTATGCACTGGGAAGATTTTTTTTTTTTTTTTAATTTGAAGGTAGACTTGTAGGAAATATGATCTATGTAAGCTAATAAAAATACATTAAACTTGTTTTGGGGGGGGGGGATAACTATAATGAACTGTGATAATCCAGATTACAGTGTCTCACATGCATTAGAATGTCTGGCCTATATCAATCTAAGATGCTGTCCAAAATCTCATTGTATAAGTTTGAGCTCATAACTGCTAAATGTTTTGGGGAATTTTTTCCCCCACTGTTTTGGCATGACCCGTCATGCAATCATTAGTGGGGTAAAATATATATTAAATAGTTTAATAAATAAATAAATAAAAGTTGAAAGTAAATAGTCAATGTGGCACATCAGCTTGTTTGTAATCTCCCTAATGAATGCTACAGTCACAAAGACAAAACGTCTCTAGACAAGTCAAAAGAGAAAAAGATGAGAAACTTAATGAAGACAGTTACATACATTTATTGCATATCTTTTAATTGTATGAAATGGAAAAAAAAACGAGCACATATGAACATCACATAAGGTTAGTGAGTGGTATAATTTTGCACAGCAAAATATATATATATATATATATATATATATATACTATGTATAAGAAACAAAGAATAATTAACATATTTCTAAGATTCATTAGCGAATGGTGCTTTCGTTTTTGTACATGCAGGGTAACAATCCCTGAAAATCCAACAATGTCCAGACATCATCGATTAGAATAATAATAATAATTATAATAATTAGTTATTGCTTTGCAAATATTGACTTTGTTTAACGACAAACAACATTCTCTTCCGACCCGATCATTACACATTAAAGCGTTACGATTAAGTAGTAACAGGGTGTCAATCTTATCTTTATGAGAGTTGTCCAGATGAACTTTTTATTTCCCTGACTCCCACATAGCGATAGGCGAAATCTTTTATTTTTTTTTTTTCTTTTTAGTGCAGTTTAGTGCGTCAGTATGAAAGAGACACATTTCTCGAAAGTATATTGCAAGTCACTTCGCCTTCAACAATGACAAACATTTTTTTTTATTGTATTTTTATGCACTTTTATTAATTTAAATATTACTTTAACATAAAATAATAATAATAATAATAATAATAATATTAATAATAATAATAATTAAATGTGTGAGTGAAATCAGAGCGCACACCTCAGATTATTAATGCATGCTGCAAAAGCACTGTTTCTGAACTGGACAATGCTGCTCACTTTATTAATTGGAGCTTAGCCAATTTTTTCTTAACGACTTTGTTTTTGTCCTTCTTTTCCTTTTCTTCAAAACAAACTCTCCTTGCTTTGGCAATCTGTGTTTCAACCTGTTGTTGTTGTTTGCAACTTACATCACAAAACTTTAGAATTAAATTATGTATTGAAAATGATTCAAATGTTGACATATGCACAATGGTATATATTTAAATAACAAAATCTTATAGCAACAGACTAGACTTCCAGAGACTGGACTGGTGATTTTCATATAATTGTAAAGTCTTTTTTTTTTTTTTTTTTTGCGTCCTCTCGCTGCAGGCTCTCCGCCGACAAAAGTTCCATCAGGTAATGCTCTGCGCACTTTCTGCAGCCTACAATGACAGTCGATGGTGGAGCACTTCAACACAGCTGAAATGCACTTGTATACGTTTAAAGGGGAGGATGGGGGAGTCCTGTCACTTTTTTGTGTTCGTCCCAAAAAAGTGAGGAGGCCAAGATGGAGTTATGAATGACATGCTGGAGTCATCCGACCAAATATAAAGGAAGGGGTAGGGGGAGGGGGGAAGGAACATTTTCAAGCACAAAAATAAAGAAAAGAAAACCATACATGTCCAGCATGCAGGGCAGTTCAATAGCAAAATTCTTTAAAACAATGAATAGTTTGTGATGAAAGTACAGTCATTTTTCGTTGCTCAACACAATGAGAAACAAACGCATGATATGAGGTGGCGTCAAATGGCAGGCTTGCGATCCTCCAAGTTTGGTAAATAAAAAAATAAAAATAAAAAAATAAAAATAAAAAAAGCCCGTTTGCAGCTTTGACAGGGACCTGTACATTGAATTCAAGGTAAAATGTTGTAAAAGGGAACACTGACAAACTTTATAGGAGTATGCTTAATGCATGCATGCACACTTTATGAACAGCGGGACGTTGAGTCAACTTTCAAAAAAAAAAAAAAAAAAACACTGCAAACCTTATGAACAGCGGTGGAAAAGGAGCTTGACAGACACCATATGCGCTATATACAGCTAATAATAATAATAATAAAAATAAAAACAATTGAAAGTTTCCTCAAAATGCCTGTCCAAAATAATAATAATTAAAAAAAACTCCACATCTAAACAGTCACAGACTTGAGGGAATCCCTTCTTTAAAAACAAAACAAAACAAAACAAACAACAACAACAAAAAAACAAGAACAAAAAAGTATAAAATCATTTAAAAAAAAAAAACTTGACAAATTAGTTATTTGTCAATTTGGCTTTGCGCAAAAAAAGAGATAATAAAAAAAGCTTCATAAAGAAAACTTTTCGGAGGGGTGACTTTTTTTCTTTTTCTTTTTTCGCGATAAGTTCGAGACTCACATGAAAAACTCTGGGGATGAAGGGTTGTTGTCACTGCTGGATCCATTTTCTCTGAAGCCGTTGCTGATGAGCTTCTCATACTTTTCCTTGTACGCGTCCCTCTCCCGGACCAGCCTGGAGATTTCTTGCTTTAGGTGCTCGACCTGCTGCATGAGTTGCGTTTTCTCCCCCTCCAGGACGTGCCGCTGCTGAACCCGCTTGAACCGGCATGACTGAGCGTAGCCTCTGTTCTTTAGGGTCCTCCTCTTCTGCTTCAATCGGATCACCTCTTCCTTGCTGACCCCCCGCAGCTGCCGGTTGAGCTCCCGCACCGACATGGTCACCAGCTGCTCGTCTGAGAACCGATCCTCCAGGCGCATGTGAGGGTGATTCGTCCCAGAAGTGCCGTTGGACTGAACGCCGGGTGCCTGGTGGTGACTGCCGTTGTGGTGGTGATGATGGTGGTGGTGGTGTTGGGCCCCGTTCTGGGCAGCTGCCGCAGCGATCACAGCTGACACCACGGCTGCGGCGGAGCCCATCTCTTCCCCGGCCATGGAACCTCCTGTCCCGGCCGCGCCAGTAAACTGCTGGCCCCTGGCGTAGCCATCGAAGGACTGGAGCTGGTGACTGCTGTTGATGAGCGCCTCGACTGCGTCTTCGGGGCTGAAGCCCAGCGCCTCTGGATTCAACTGCTGTTGATAACCAGACATCCAGTAGAAATCCTCTATGTGTGTCTTCTGCTCGCTCCCCGAGCCCGGACTGGGCGCCGAGAAGCTTGGGGAAGGGGGCACCGAGCTGCAAGGCGTGCTCATCGGGGTGGAAGACAAGGATCCCCCGGCGATAAGGCGACTGCACTGGCTGATGTTGCGATCGGGCTCCACCGGCTCCTTTTTCACTTCAAACTTCATCAGATCGAAGTCATTAACATATTCCATGGCCAAGGGACTGGTGGGCAGGTCGGAGTTGCTCATTGCCAGCTCTGATGCCATCCTCTTGCTGCTGCTGACAGTCCTCCAAGCGGGGTGAAGAGCAGCTGTCAAACTGGGCTGGTTGGGAAAGACGTGAGCCAGTTTGATTTTTTAAGCGTTTGTCTTGAAACTAGAAAAAAACGAGGTTTTGCAGCGTCCTTTCTGCGCAGCCACGGAGTTGCAGGCGTGCGAGAGGAGTTTTTCTTTGCAGAGTCTATTGCACAGACGCAGCAGTGCCGCGCGCACGAGTAGCGGAGTCCTCTTTCAGCATGTGAAACACGGTGGTTTTGTGTTTCAAACATTTAACACTTTACGCCTTCTTCAGGAACACATTACGCGAGCGAGGAAGCGGTGTAAGGGGGGGAACAAGCCGAGAGTCGGTCTCGCACGTTTGATGCCGCTGAGTACCTAGTGGGACGATTTTTTACTGGGATCACACAGCAGATGAGTTTAAGAGCATTGTAGCCGCCCTGACGTAAGGCTGGAAACGGGAAATTGACTCGGACGAAGAGCCAATAGGGTCGCACACTCGCAGAGCTAATTAACATATCAGAAGCGCTCAGAAACAAACTTTTCTCAACTGACAAGAGGCCACCAGCTGTCTGTCAGCCGCGGCTGACTCTCTTTGGCTTCAGCGATTGAACTTTGTTTAATAACTAAGTATTTTAGTTATTAAATAAAGTGCTCTCCATGCATCATAACGATATGTGACATACGGACCACTGTCCCATTTCAAACAAGAAAGTTTTACATTTAAAGAAAAAGGATAGATAGATAGATAGATAGATAGATAGATAGATAGATAGATAGATAGATAGATAGATAGATAGATAGATAGATAGATAGATAGATAGATAGATATTTTTTCCTGCTTCCTGCTTCGGATCTTTTCACTAAAATAAAAAAAGCACTTTTCTATTTTAGTGTATCTTTTCCACATATATAGTTTAATATCTGGTTTGTTTCTTTTTAATATATATATTTTTTTCTCAATTACATCTATATGTTGTACCAGACATTAACCGTAAACGGACCTCATATACAAGTTTTTGTCTGAGCGCTAATTCTGAATTTGTCATGTAAATAATATGAAGAATGAAGTCGGAGGTTTGTCCCGTCTCCGCTATGAACAAAATTGCAAAACTCAACACTGCCACCTTTTGGTCATGTAATCATTCCTCTCATGCAGTTCTATGCACAAGTTGCAAGGAGGAAAGAAAGTGATTAGAAAGAACATGATACATGTGTTTTTAGAAATAATTAGAAGCACACATATATAAAAGATACATTTTTATATATATTTTTTTAGAAGATACAGGGACATTATTTTGTGTCCTACTATGAGGTTTTATGTCCAAGTCATCGTGTCAGAAGAAATGAATGCTAGTGACCCTGGAGTTCGGTTCAAACTGTTATGATGTGCAACTGTAATAAAAAAATCACTTTATCTGAGTTCTAGCCCAGGCGTTGCTTTAGGTGTCATAAAAAGATTTCCAGCACACTGAACTTTATCTCAGTTCAGAGGTCTCCAACTTCTAATTGACTTGTGTACAACAGGGTCATGAGACAGTATGGGATTTTTTTTTTCCTGCAGAGCATATCTGTGTGTGCCCTGTAGCTCTTCATACTGTCATGCATATAGATTCAGGGAGAAACACTTTAAAGTATTCCTTCATTTCTTTTTTTAATGGCAGAATTTGATCCACAGAGATATAACAGATTAAAAATTTACATTTTGGTTCCTATTTTATACTTGTAAAATGCATTTAAGATACAACCAAAAAGGATTTTACTGATTTGTTAGAGCATTTGATTGTTAGAAAACCAGAGATGGAAACAATATTTGTTTTGCAGTTTGCAGTTTGGAAAAGAACCCTCATTGTGCTCATTTTTGACAGTTGCCTGTTTGGGGTTACCTGTTTGTAGAAAGGCACAGCAGTGGTCCGTTCCCTGGGGGGTGGGGCGCATGGCTAAAGCAGAGTGAGACTAACGTGCAAACACAGAGAGAGATCATTGGTCACGACAGGAGAAAGTAGCAGACCAAACTTAGTTGTTCTTGAAGTTATTGATGGTGCAATGAAAAGCGAGATCTATTTAGGAAAAGTCAAGTGCTGAAGGGAAAATTTCTGAAGCCATGAGAGGAGGAGGTGATGATAAGAGAACCAATTTTGGGCAATCTTACAGAAATATATAGCATTACCATTAGATTGCAAAAGTCAGACTTGTTCTTTAGGCTTTAAAGTGAACAAGAACATATTACAGATTTTAATCTATTATCATTATATGAAATTGTGAAAAAAGGTGTTTCTTTGTAAGATACTGTACGTGTACTGTATCTAAGTACTATGGGTTGCTTTGAGGAATGCTTTGTTTTTCTTGTTTCAGCAAGTTTAGAAGTGCGTCACATAAGCATTTGACAAGGAATAAAAACTTTTAAATTTCTGATTTGTTTTACACTGATCATGTTTGTGGTGTTCATGGTCAAGACCACAAGATGTAGTCATGAAGAGGAGGACATCTGGTTTCGGATGATGATTTTTTGTTGTTGGTGTCTCCAAGTTATGAACTTTGACATAAACTGCAGAAGCTTACAGTCAAGTGTGATGCAACTGGGATGAGAGTCAGCTCTGATCCTCAACTGGAACAAAAGGCTGACCGTATACTCAGGGTGGGGAACAAACATTACAACTGGAGCTCTTCTACTTTGCCATGTATTGGAGATGGTTTGGGCAAAGGGTCAGAATGTTTTCTGGACACCTCCCTTCGGAGGTTTACCAGACACATTTCACATGGTGGAGACTCCAGGGCAGTCCCAAAAAAAAAAAAAAAGAAGCTGGTTGAAGCTTAAGCACCACAAATCTGGAACAAACGTCCGGAAAATTGTAAAACAGCCGAAACACTGAGTTCCTTTAAGTCTTGACTTTAACCCCACCTGTTTAGGGTTGCTTTTGCACCATAATAAACAAAACACTATCCATTTTTGATGTGTAATGATGGCACTTGCGAAAATCATCTGTTATTGATCAGCACTTAATTTGTCAAGTTGTCTTCCAAACTGTTTTTGACGCTTGGAAATACTTTAAGCAGAGCGGAGGGAGGAGGGGGAGTGACACATTTAAAAAAAAAAAAAAAAAAACCCTGTGAGACATGAACAATTGGCTGCTCCTTTGTGATAAAAGAACCAAAGGTGATCAGCTCTCATTTGTTCTGAATTCTCTTTTTATGAATTGTGCAAGTGATTCTCCAGCTTTTTTTTTTTTTTTTTTAATAGCACAAGGAGTAGCATTTATTAATTTATTAGTGGAACCTTAGCTGGAATCCCTCTGCGTGATCAGACTGATAAAGATGAATCAAGTAGCGTGATCAGAGTTCACTGAGTTGTTTTCTGTTTTTTTCAGATGGTGTTTGCGTGGATGCAGGCTGTGGCTGTTGCTCAGTTCTAGCTGGGACTTGATAAGGTAATTTTTTTCCAAGTTTTTTTTTTTTTTTTTTTACATTCCTCACAGCTGATAGCTCCCTGCCAGCACATAGTTAGTAAAAGGAAGTCACAGCCTTATTCTTAGTATTATTCTTGATAATGAAATCAAAGTGCACTAATACAAGCCATGCTTTACATCTCTACAAACAAGAAATTGTGGTATTGCTCAAGCCTAGTCCAATTTCATCAACAGTCCAGTGAGAACAGCAAAACTGGAATATCAATTTTCACCCTACCAACAGAATGTGGGCACAGCCATGCCATAATTACCTTAATCCATTAGGCGGAAGGAGGGTGAGGCTGAGGAGGGTGCAACAGAGGACAGACAAGACAAAACAAGGTCAGGAGGAGATCACATCTGTAGTCTGAGGTTGATTTTGGATGGCCTCCTTGAGACTGATGGACAATATTTAGTCACCTGGAGCTGATGGGAGTTACGTGAGAGAAGAGTGCCGATGTTTAAATCAAGCCAGGATCAACTCAGAGGCTGAATGAACAACAGTGAACCAGTGTTACAGTCCCGTGTAAAGTGCACTCGCACGTTCCCCAGGCTATCTGTGTCACTCCACACTAGGGTGGCACAGAGTTTCAAGGTTTAATATCAATCCCCTTCGGAATGAATATTTGTTAAATTAAGTAAATTTCAAATTGCTGCTGTGAGGTTTGTAAATGTGCACTGTACTGTTCACCTCATGTACACCAATCGAAGAAGACTGGTCAATATTGCACAAGAGCTGGCAGAAAGGTTTGCATATTAGCCATAATTACATTCACATGGACATAATGTATTGGTTTACTGTCATGCGTAAGGTTAATATGTATTGCAAGTAAATGATATAGTAACTGCTGGATAGCTTTCCAAGTTATCTCTGTCACGGTTTCACACAAGTTGGACTTTCATCTTTAACTGTATGCATGCAATGCCTTAGAGTGACCCATAAACTCATGAATCCTTTGTGTTATGCAATCACGCATATACGTTTCTGGTTATTCAAATCTTAATACAAGTCTGACATGTCTGACAATGGAGAATTTTCTGAAAGCACATTTCAGTTTATATTATCATATTTTTATTTTTTTTTTTTTTTGATAATTCAGAATATTATGTGCCCTTCACTTTTACAGTCATGTTTTCAGAACTAATCATACTCTGCTCAAGTTTCTGGTAAGTCTCAGGTGATGCCCTTGGGCTATTGTCACCTGGATCTTACAGTAACAATAAACTGTGGTATTCACAATTACAGAGTCAGCAAGCTAATTAGAGCAGAGCAAAAGAAGAAAGAGAAAGGCCAGAGGGAAAGAGTCCTTGGCTTCTTTAGGTTAAAATATTATGAAACATTTTGGTTCCTGACTTTCTGTAGGACACACCATTACTACTTAGAAAGAATCCCTATTTTGGTCAGGTATCCCCCTTAATTAGCATGTATGTATGTCCACATATCAGATTTAGTTGGTGTTTGCACATAAAGATCGAATGTAACTTTTACAAGAACAAACACGTGCTTGTAAGATTTCAGTCTCTTAAGGTGAAAAAAAAAAAAAATCAGAAATGTTCAGAATCAGAGAACTTGCAATTGCCAAGCAGAAGGTATACTTTAATAGGCTTCTCTGTGGGAGATCTTAGAGTTATTTTGTATGTATCTCAGAATTTTGGGGTTGTTTTTATTTATTTATTTTACAAATGTTTACATTTTGGCTTCATTTTTTGTTAAATAAAAGATGCCATGGTAGAATTTGTGGTTTATGAATTCAAAGAGGGGAATTTCTTTTTGTCATGATTTTATGGGTGCATAGTTTGTTTGGTGACCAGACTACCAAATTATTTGATATAATAGTCAAATAATTATTATATTAACACAACATTACTCTGACCTTTTCCTACATAACAGTTGAGAATATGAACCCCCATTTAAAACTAAAGTTTTTACTGTAAAATTATTTACAGTAATTCCAGCAACACTTAGTTACTGCATCCATATTTTTTGGTTCAAAGGGGTGGAAGTCGCCTTTTTAACTCACACTACTAATTCACAGAGATTAAAATTCAAGTGAATACATGTAAAATGTGTGTCCAACTCTAAAACTAATATTTAAAGCATCATACATTCCAGCAATAACTCATATTTGTACTATTTATTATAAAAGAAACCTAAATACCATTAGAGAAAAAAAGGAAGAGACATTTTAATGTTTTTTTTTAGTGATTTTGTGAATTAAACACCTTTTTTCCTCTTTTTCAATATCTGTTATTCTGTAAACAATACACCAACATAACACGTGAAATCA